ATATAAGTCTAACTGCTATTGCTATTGCTATTTTGAGCGCATCCACTAAAATAAGCCCTCCCTGAAAATATTGGGACACATCAGCAGCCACGAGGTGACCACGCTCGCCGCCTCCTGCACCTCAAAAGTAATAAGACCTCCCCAAAAATAAGGCCAAGCGCTTATTTCGGGGGTCAAAAGAAAATAAGACCCTGTCCTATTTTCGGGGAAACACGGTATATTGGTGGCTAGCCCAAGTCAATATTTTAGAAATGCTCCCAAATGTTTGTGTGCTTTTTGTATCTCTACGGATGCCAACTTTGGGGATGTCGGCCTTACGCAACTCCGTAGTTCACAGCGTTGCGGAAACGCTATCACAAAATCCTTCTGTGTAACAGGAATTCTGAAATCTGTAGCAGTTTGTTTTATCATTCTCCGAACATTCACTCGTGCAGTGAAGGGAGAAAGAGAGAGACGGAGAGAGAATTTATCATTTGTCGACCGATTATCACAAAATCTCTCCGGGCAGGACTCAGAAAATCCTTTTTCATTTAGAGAGGCCTCACAATGATTGGTTCCAACTAGGCCCGCTGAACACATTTGCAGCACCCTCGGCTCCTATCATATTAAGTCCTAATGCGGTTTGATTGGTCGCAGCTTTGTTTGCTGCGCGAGATTTGTAGACACGGGAGCAAACCAGAGCTTAGCAAAATCAACCTCCTTTCAGTGTGTGAACGAGCTTCGAAGGGCGCCAATACACAAAGGTAGTCGCCCTGGCAACATGCATTAACAAGCCAGGGGTGCAGGCCGTGTTGGGGAAGCAGAAGGAAGCAGTTCGCCCCTGCGCTACAGGGAAGCAGCCATCATTTTGGTGCGACTGCAATGAATTGTGGGTGTGCTGAAAATGGTGGCCGCTTCCGGGAGGCAAACACAGATTAGGCTGAAGCCTGCGTGGACCCTGTGGGACAGGATGGGGCAGGGATGAAATGCTACCGGTTTGAACCAGTGCGCCCGAACCAGTAGTAAAAAATGCTACCGGTTTGCCCGATCGATAGAAAAAAAATTGCTACCGGTTCAGGTGAATTGGTAGTTCCAATGATCAGCTGTGCAACAATCTGTGCTGTGCTGTGCAATTTATATTTGCGAGATTTATATTCAAAGCGAACCTATAGCGAACCGAACCGGTAGCAGGCTTCAGAGCATTTCACCCCTGGGATGGGGGTGGTGTGTAGAAAAACAGTACTGCAGCACCTCTGTGGTCAGTCATAAGGGTGAATGCCGGTGGGCGCGTTGCACCAATTGTAAATTCAAAATGGGGTCATAATTGTCTTGGGGAGGGGGCCAGTTGTAACTTTGAACAGCCATTAAGCAAACAGTCCCGATAAAGGAGAATATTTGTAGTTTAGGATTGAAATGAGGGGTCCTTGGTGCTCCCTGAGCTTAGTTTTTGCCTTGCAGACATTTCATTACCAAACTAGGTAACATCATCAGTGCACTGATGTTGTTGCCTAGTTTAGGTAATGAAACATCTGCAAGAAAAAGTAACAGGCTCACAACCCACACCCACCCACCCCTAGACACACCTCAAGTACTCAAAATACACAAGGATCTCGATTTGTTGCATCTAAACAAGCTGAATTAGTCAGCCACGAATGGACCATGCTTAAAATTTTCACAATAAGCCAGCATACTCCAGCATCCTGCCTTGCAGTTAGCTGTTTCTGTTTACAATCGGATCACCCCTGCTTAGAAAGTTGGAGAGTCCCTGAAACTTTGAACAAGGAGGTACTCACACTAATAGCAGAATACAGAGATTCTCCAAAGAGGTTCTTGTATTCGTGTCGAATATCCAGAAGATCGATTTCTGACCTGGATACTAGAATTCTGGTCACTGTGATTTCATCAGTTCCAGGTCCCTGTAAACAAATGAGAAAAAAAAATCCCTCTATTTACGAAGATTTTTTAAACTCTGCTTCCAAAAACACAGAATGCATGAGCACACATATTTTTACACCAGAGACCCAAACAGCTTTAAATATTCAAAACAGAACACAACACAACATAATAGAATAGAAAGGAATAGAATAGCATAGAATAGAATAGAATAAAGTAGAATAGAATAGAAAATAGAATAGAAAATAGAATAGAAAATAGAATAGAAAATAGAATAGAAAATAGAATAGAAAATAGAATAGAAAATAGA